TGAGAGTTGTGGAAGGGCCAGCACCCCCGTGGGCCCCCACACCCCCGAGCCACTCAAGAGATGTGACCACAGCCCCCTGCTTCTTCTTTTCTTAACACAATATTTTGGAGGAAACTCAAGTTTCCTCTTCTGAGATACGGGAACTTCCCCTGACCCCCAGATAGACAGTCACTGGGACCCAGGGTCCCCTGGGAGAAGGGCTGAGGACAGGACACCCGCCCACTCTGCAGGCTGTGGACTGTGCGGGGAGCCGGTGGGAGGGTGACAGGAGGAGACCAGAACAGAGGGACAGGAAGTGAAGCGGACCCCACCTCCCCCACTTCCTGCTCTCCTCAAAGCCACCTCTCTGCTCTCAACGCAAACAGGAAGGACTTTGCTACTAGGTAGGGGCACTCGGCGACCAAGAATTTGATCCATTCCATTACAATTCATGGGTTGTCCCAAAGGACCCCCGTGTTGAGTTCCTTGTGCTCAGACGGGGACAGCCCCAGGCCTCAGAGTGGTGTGTGTTGGGATGTCAGAATGACCAAAGGTACTTCTGGTACCTGATGGGTGATTTGCTTTCCCAAAAGATACATAGGTTGAAATCCTAAATCCTAGTTCCTCAGAATGGGATCGTGTTTGGAGGTTAAACAGGTGACTAAAAAGGTAATCGGGGTAAAACGAGGTCCTTAGGTGGACCTTAGGGCAACATGACTGGTGTCCTTCTAAGAAGAGGAGACTGGGACATAGACACCCATGCAAGGGAGACCCATCAAAGACACAGGGAGAAGGCGATCATCCTCAGGACAAGGAGAGAAACCAACCTAACTGACACCCTTGATCTTGGACGTACAGCCTGCAGAACTGTAAGAAAATAAATTTCTGTTTTTTAAGCTGCCCAGCCTCTGGTATTTGGTGACTGCAGCCCTGTGAACCCAACACCACGGGCCAGGACTACACAGTGAAGTCACGTTTTGAGAAAAGCACTAACTTTGCCAGAGTGAATAGCCCAGGAAAGTCCACCCAGATGTGAGTGAACCCCTGCACCACCAAAGACCTTTGCAACCCACAAACAGCCTCCGGCAGAGGTAGACAGACCGTGCCATCACTGTGCTGTGGGTCTGACCAGGTCACGGAGTGGCCCAGCTGCACTACGTGGAGGTGGTCTTGTCTTTCTAGAAGTTCTATGGGCCAGGTCTTGCCAGAGATCCGATTCTGCCACGGAGCTTGTGCAAAATGACACCCAAGACGTTGAGCAAGTGAACGGTCAAGGCTCCCCGTGCCCCACGGCTTCCCAGAAGCGGGTCTGCATCAGCCAGGCGGTCAAGGAGCCCGGAGCCAGCTCATCCTGGTTCAGGGGAGCCGGGGTGTTTTACCCTGGGCTCAGCGTCATGCTCTGAGCCCCCCAGGTTCAATGTCAGACTCGGCATCGCTTCTCAAGATCAGGAAATGGATGAACGTCCTCCACCTCTCAGAAATGGGAGGGCACCTACCACCAAGTCCCTGGCGTCCCTCCGGCTCACCCCTCTGCTTGAACCGGAAGGCCTGGCCTGTACCCCAGGGAACTGGCCACGTCCAGCTGTCAATCACGTCTTCGGCATACCCCCCGGTGACCGGGAATTCTCACCCTGTGCAGGGGGGGGGTGTTCTCCGCCCCTCTAGCTTCAGCCCCGGGTTCAACAGGAACATTTCCGCTCACAAATCCAATACGTAGTTTTGGCACAAGAGAGATCGTTCCAGGTGCCGCCGTTGTTCATGCTGGCGCAGTCCTCCTCGTAGATGTTGTTGGGCTCCTGTGGGGCCCAGAAACTGGAGGGAAGAAACAGTGGGCAGAGAGAGGCATGAGCCAAGGGACCCCAGGGGATTTTGCGGGTGCTGAGACTATGCCGCGAGGCTCTGCGGTGCCAAACACACGCCCCCCCCCCCCCGGGCAGTGGCCACAACCCACAGGACGGCCAGTCACGGACGGGGACACACGCCTGGGATCCCTCCCGGAAACCCAGGAGGCTGAGCAGGGAGGAGCACAAGTTCAAGTCCAGGCTGGGAAATGTAGCAAGACCTTGTCTCAAAAAAAAAAAGTAAAAAAAGGTGGGGAAGGGGAGTGGAGGAGCAGGTCGGGGAGGAGAGGAAAGGGAAGCTACTGGGCGAATAGAATAGAATCATGTGACACGCAGGTGTGACGATACTGAAGCCCTCCGGGATGAATCATCAAAGTGCACCAATAGATATTTTTTTAAAAAGAGAAAAAAAGGAATAGATCAGAAGAGGGGGTAGAGCTCTGTGGTAGGGTGTCCCTGGGTTCAATCCCCAGGACCCACAAGACAGAAGAGCTATTGACTTTAAAGAAAGGAACGTGGTGGGAGAGGAAAGGCCATCGTGGTCCGAGGGTCCTTCCATCTGAATCGCTCCTTGCCTTCCAGATGACGCCGCATCATCCCTCCCCCCCAGCTCACCTGTCCTACCCAGCCCCGCTGGCCACGGGCAGCCTCTCCCACCTCCACCGCCCACCCCGAGCCTCCTGAACCAGCCTCCTCTGCCTCCTCCACTTCCCAGGACCCCTCCCTCTGCACACCCCAGTCGGATCCTCCCCACCTTGCAGGAAGTGCGCTATTTGGGGTCACACTCTTAAAGCAGGGTCTGACCCGGGGACTCGGGTGCATGGGGTACGTGAAGGGAGGTTCTACAGAAAGGAGAAGGAGCGGGAGCCGGCGGTGGACCAGGAAGGAGGAGCTGAGCCAGGCTGTGAGCTCCTCTGCGCACGGCTTCCTCCTGACCTGGAGATCGGGATGCCCCCTAGGGTCACCCCCACGGAAGCCATCTCTTAGGATGTCATTGGCCCTGGGCTGATCCCCGTGGGAGTAGGGGTAACCTCTTAGATGAGCAGCCTCCCATTCAGCTGAGGACACATTTCCAGAAACATCATGACTGTGAGCCCTTGGCAGCCAGTGCCTCCCGCTGGGGAATGCAGGTACACCAGGACCTGAGCTGTCCCCACAGTGCCATGCCACGCCACATCATTTCTTTGAGAGCCACGCCTCCTATCAAGAATCTCTAGCTAAAAAAAAAAATCCTGCTCATCATTTTGAGAACTCCAAATCTTCCTCTCAAACCTGTGGCCAGTCTCTTTATTTTTCCAGCCATTGACCTAGAGGCTTGATAGAGTTGCAAAGTTGCGCTAAGTGGTTGAGATGTTGCAATGGAGGAAACCTCAAAGCCACATGTTAGGATTTGTCTGAAAGGTCCCCCAGAGTCTCACACGGTCAGAGGTGACGTGATCGGGTCACAGGGGTCTGATGGCATTGGCGGATCAGTAACTTGAGGGGGTTATTGGGAGGTGGTGGAAACTGTAGGAGGCGGCACCTAGCTGGAGGACGTAGGTCCCTGGAAGCAGATCCTGAGAGGACTTGGCTTGTCCCTGGCCCCGCCTGCCCCCTCCCTCCTTCCTGGCCACCGTGAGCTGACCCCTTTCCTCTTCTGTGGGCTCAGCCCCAGAGCAATGGAGCCGGCAGACAGGGACCTAACCCTCTGCAACCGAGCCAAAATAAATCCTGCCTCTTCCAAGTTCTCCCCAGGCGTTTGTCACAGCGACAAAAAGCTAACCCAGTTCAGGGACCAGAAGCCCTGCCATCATTAAAAAAAAAAAAATCACCCTTGTAGACCAGCCTGGAATTCCAGAGAACTAGGGTCCCAGGCCCCAAGGACAACACCACGCAGGGAAGAGGGCCTTCCCAGAGGGGGCACCAAAAAGATGACCAGGACCCGACATACCCCTCCATTCAGGGTCC